GAGTGGTGGTCAACTGAAACAGACCCCGGATGGCTCAGCAAGATTTGAGCTTCTGGTGGCTATAGTCAAGTATAAGACTGTGATTAGGAAGATCAGAGAGGGTGTATGCACTCGGTATCTTGCTTACTTGCCAGCAGGGGCGAAACTTCGTGTCGGACTGCAGCAAGGCGGCTTAGCTGTCACAAAAGCCGAATCTGAGCGGCCAGTTATCATGATTGGTCCCGGGACCGGTGTTGCGCCTATGCGATCTTTGGTCTGGGAAAGGTTGCAATGGGCAAAAGAAAGAGCTACCGAAGTGGAAGAAAAGACCAATCATCATGCAAATGGTGTAGCGGGGACTGGACACAGTCTCTTATTCTTCGGCTGTCGCAGTGAAACCGCCGATTACTTCTACCAAGATGAATGGCAGGATCTGCAAAGGCGAATGCCATTGACCGTCCACCCAGCCTTCTCGCGTGATCAAGGTCACAAGGTCTATGTACAGAATCTCATACGCCAGCAATCAGACTCTGTCTACCGCCTCCTTCATGATAGTGGGGGAATAGTCTACGTATGTGGGTCTTCGGGCAAGATGCCGCAAGCAGTCCGCGCTGCGCTTGCCGATGTCTTCAGAGATGTCGGCCGTATGGATCAGAAAGACGCCGAGAGCTATATGGAGGCAATGGAGAAGGAAGGAAGGTATAAGCAAGAGACTTGGTAGCTTGAACAACTCTGGTGTCGCTGAAGCCATCAGACCCAAGCGTGAACTGAGATTTCCCCCGCGAAGCTTCACAGCTGCAGTATAAACGATTGAGCTCTGCTCCAAAGCTGTACATGCTTTTAAGAAAAAGCAGTTTCTTACCATTAGGCCTTGCGAGCCCTTCACCGTCCCTCAATCATTAGCCGTTGTTTGACACCGGTCTTGAAAAACCCTTTTTGGTCACTCTCCGGTCCGTGCCCTTCAGGTTCAACATTCAGTCCGTCCTCAAGCTTTAGCAGCCTTTATCCAAACAGTTCCAGAACAAGAGTCCTGCGAAGCTGCATCATAAATACCTTTTGGTCTTTAGTAAGATGACACGAATGTTAAGTTGAGTGCAGGTGCAGAAGTTGCTATTGAGCTTTCAAACATGAAAGACTTATTTCCAGTCTGCAAACGAGTAGAGATACCACAGACGCCAGCCAGCCACCCTGAAGTCCACGTTCACTCTCATCTGCTTCGTCGTCCCTCCACTTTTCTCACGCAAGGGCCAGCCTGAAGTCACAAAAGCCTACCCGAGTCAGGACGGGTCTGAGCATCGCACAACAGGTCCTTCCACTTTTAGACTCCATCTCCCCAAAGTCCAACCACTGTAACCAGCCACCCAACACCCCACACGACTGTCCGCCCCACCATCTTCCCCCTCCACTTCTCCATTCCTTCCCTGACAGCCTCTCCGTTCAGGCTACCAGTGCTAGCACCCTCGACCTCCCATTCCTCATCGCTACTATCCGGCGTCCTTGATCTAGCCCTGCTCTCATCGCCCTTGCCCTTCACCTTTCCAACTACACCCGCATAGATCTCTTTCGTGTAGCCCAATCCGATGGCCAGGGTTGCCCACAAGAGATACGGATGTCGGCTGCGGGGTGGGGAGAGGGCGTAGGCGAGGAGTAGAGAGGTGGAGGAGAGGGTGGAGAGGAGGAGTTGGTGCCGGTGGGCTAGAGCGCGCAGGTGTTGGAATGTGGTGGAGGCCGGTTGGGCGCTGGGAAGGGATTGGATGGGTGGGAGGGTGGTGGTTGTTGTGGTGTAGGATACGCCCTGAGAAGATGTCAGCTGTTGGTTAAAAGGCGGGGGATGTTGAGCCGGGGGTGAGGAGAAGGTGGGAGTAGGAAGGAGAGGGCGGGAATGGAGGGGAGGGGCGTACAGTCAGGAGACCGAGCGAGATGGTGCCGATGAACTTGCAGATGGTTGCTGTCGTGCGTGACATCTTGTCCGATGCTGTACTTAGAATGGATGTTGCAGAGCGAAGGCGGAAGGGATTTGGATGGAGGGTGGAGATGGGAAACCTGAAGCTCCGTCTTTCTAGCGGCTACGGATCGGCAGCAGGGATCTGCAAGCGGCGACTCGGGGACCCCTCGTTTGCCTCGGCCCAGCGACAACACAATGTTATGATCTCCAAGAAAGCGTCGACCATCGGTAAGAGTTCTCTAGATTAATAACGGCTGAAGTATTTAAGAATCAAGCTTGTAATCAACCTCGGCTTGGAGTGCGGGTTGGAATTGAGCCGATCTTATTCAAGGCTCGCCCCTATAATTCGTCCTCAAGCCCTCCCTCCTCTTGGAGACCGTTCTCATGTATTGCCGTTGACACCTAAGCTTTGCAATTGAGAAAGCCTCCAATCTTGATTCACGTTGCCATCGATACGTCGAGATGCCTCTCCCCAAGCATGAGTACGTGAGCGATATCTGGAAAGATGGCATTTTTGGTAGCAAATAACTCTTTCCTAATTCATGTCTTGCTTGAGCTTACGTTCTCACTCCAGAAAACAAAGTCGTGTTTTGCACAGGTGGCGCTGGCACCATATGTAGCGCCCAGGTCAGAGCCATGGTCCATCTCGGCGCTAATGCGTGCATTATTGGACGAAATGTCGAGAAAACGGAGAAGATGGCTACAGATATCGTTACTGCGAGGCAAGGCGCAAAAGTTCTGGGCTTTGGGTCTGTTGATGTCAGGAGTATTGAAAGTATGCAAACAGCTGTGGAGAAGTGTGTTAAAGAGCTGGGGGGAATCGATTTTGTGATGTAAGTCTATGGATTAAGCAAGCCATGTCTGCATACACTAAATTCCTCCAGCGCCGGAGCTGCAGGCAACTTCCTCGCCTCCATCAACCAGCTCAGCACAAACGCCTTCAAATCCGTCATGGACATCGACGTTCTGGGCTCTTACAACACTGTCAAGGCGACGCTGCCCCATCTCGTCACTTCAGCAGGCAAGCACAAGTCCGACGGCAGAACAGCCTCTCCAACAGGAACAGGCGGCCGCATCATCTTCATCTCCGCCACCTTTCATTACACTGCAATGCCTCTCCAGACTCATGTCAGCGTCGCCAAAGCTGGCGTTGACGCACTTTCCAACAACCTCGCTCTCGAGTTTGGTCCGCGAGGCGTGACGTCTAACGTTATCGCACCCGGCCCTATCGCCGGCACAGAAGGCATGGAAAGATTGGCAAAGACGGACGACGTGGCTAACTCTTTCAAAAACATCCCTCTGGGAAGGTGGGGCACTGTGAAGGAGATTTCAGACGCCACGATCTTTCTATTCTCAGATGCTGGGAATTACGTGAATGGCCAGGCACTTGTTGGTGTGTACGAATTCTCCCATTATGTAGGAATGAGCTGATATGTTTGGTCCTCAGTCGATGGAGCAGCGTGGCGAGCACAGACGCCCAACATGGGCGGATTCAAGTATCCTGATTTTCTTTTGGGTGATGAAGTGGTGACTGGAGTCAAAGGTGGTAAGAAATCAAAGCTATGATGTATAGGAGAGGTATTTAGCCGAAGAACATTATGCAGAGTGCCATGCTCTTTTTGGTTATTCGCACCGCAATCCTTCAAGCTATGGATATTCCGGAACCCGCAGGCTTGACAAACAAAACCCTTTTACCTCTTCGCTTGATTGAGCACTGTCACAGACTGTCTGACAAGTGAACAGCAGTGCGGGAACGTGCAAGTGCATGTTCGGCCCTAGCATAGGCGCAACATGTTCTTGGTGTCGATTTCTTCGGCATGAAGGGAAAAACAACTCAACACTGTTCTTTCTTGCGGTAATTCGAACATCAGCCAAGGCCCACGTTTCAACGCCACGTTGAGTTCTTTTGCAAAAGTCTGTGCGAATAGTCGATTCAGGCAAGCGACCCTGCTCGTGTCGCTAACAGCAGTAATTAGGCAGGAGTGGGTAAGGGTTTTAAAGCAGGAGAGGGTGGGTTGGGTGTCCCATTGGAGCGCTTGCTCTTCGCACGGCACGGCCCAGCCAACCCAAACGGGCAATCCTTGGCCTGACGATCTATGTCTTCCGGCATCCACGACGACCTTGGTGACATCAACCGACATGGGAAAATTGAGGTTATGTACCTGCCTGTGGGCTGATGGTTCGATCAGTATTCCCTCTCCGCCCTAGTATATGACGTTGCGGCGTGTGCTTAAACAGCGTCCCGTCGCCCTCTCCTTTACTCACATTAATCATGTAGTCTCTTCAAGCCGTTTCCACCACATGAGTGTCATTGTTAGCTCTTGTCCACCCCACCATCTCGGCAATGGCCAGTTGACTGAATCATGGCATCTCATGCTTCAAAAAAGCATAAGTTGTTCCGGGAGACAGATCTATTCTAAATTTTCTCGCCTTCTTTTCGCGCAGTCAAGAGGGCAGTCCTAACGCGTGCCAATCATTTCCGACCGTCCATTCAAATGTCTCAATCGCGGTCCATCCCTCGCCCAAACCAGCCGGCCTTAGCGCCCCCGCCTGGTGTCCCAGCGGAATTCTTTAGCCCTTATACGTTGCGGCCCTATCAGGCTTTGACGATAGTCGCGAGCGTTTTTGCGACTACAGTCATGGTGGCCGCGCGTTTATACACGAAGAAATTAATAGTGAAGGCTCTGAAATGGGAAGACAGTAAGTAGAGCTAGCTAGTGTGTGGACAGTATTGTCTCATCTATGCCAGATACTTGCTCATTGGGATGGGTGGACTCTCTCTCTACCTTTGTCTATCTCTCCCCAGGTGGATTACTTTCTGGAGAGCACGTGAACCCAGAAATGTAAGTGTAGAGAACAACCAGCTAACATAAATCGCCCTAGGCAACTTTCATGGCCTATCTAGCAATCGAATGGTGTATTGGCACTCATGGTCGTGGCACCCATATGTGGAATCTGTACTACTCGCATGTTCAATATCAAAAAAGAGTGAGTCTCGCAACGCTCTTCGCAAACTTAGGGTCTAAGCGACTAGTAACACAGGCAGTACACAAATTATTCAGACCCCATCTACAGTCTATCGCTCTTCTTCACCAAATGCTCCATCCTGCTCCTCATCCTGCGAGTCTTCTGCTCCGTCGAGCGTGACATCGGCTACTGGCTTACTCAAGGCTTGATCGACGTGAACGCGATATCCTATACCGCCTTCTTCTTCGTCCCGATCTTTCCCCGCTCTCCACGCACCAAGATCTGGACACCCGAAGAGCCGGGACGCTGTCTGGACGTCGACGTGTTGTATCTCGCATCCACCAGTTTCCAACCTGATTTCCGACATCGCGCTCTTGAGCGTCCCCATCTATCTGATCCGGAACCTGCAGATGTCGGTGCGGCGCAAGATCGGTGTCTCCGCCCATCTTCGCAACGGGCGCGCTGTCAGTCCCCGTCCCGTTTTTCAGACACACTCTCATGTGAGATCGTTTGACGTATGGCAGGGCTTGCGTCGCGAGCATCCTGCGCCCGGGCGTTCCACGTCCTCCCGACCCAGGACGGAAGACCACACCGACGTGACATTCCAAGCCGCGCTCTGGGCGTGAGTTCCCACAATCCCGTTCCATTCCATTCCCCTCACGACCAGCGATCGAAACATCTCCGGCCGAACCGTGCGACCGCATCGCCGAAATCGCCAGCGGTCCGCTCCGCAGCTGCCTCGTCGTTCCGCCCCGCCTCTACGAGCATCTCGCCTCCATCGCCCCCCGCACAAAGGCGACGGCGACACTCCGGCTCCGGCTATGGCGGAGCGGAACACGCCCGGCGCCCCAATCGAGGCGGGATTGGATACAGCTGCGCGATCGGAACGAGCGGGGTTTGCAGGAGCTGCCGAGCGAGGCTTTTCAGGAGGAGCGGAGTGGGTGTGGAGAGGAACGGGCGCTCTCGAGTGCGCGGTGGAAGGGAAGGCGGTTGATGTTGAGAGAGGCGTTTGAGAGTTGTGTGGGTGGGGTGTTGGTGCTTGTTTGATGGATGAAGCGATGCTTTTTGGTTTCGGTTCGGTGGGTATTTGTTTACTCGGTTGTGTCTGTGGGTTTACGCGCTTTTCTAAATTTGTCTATCGTGGGGTGTGATTTTGGCATTGGCTGGTAAAAGTGCCGCGTAAGGTCAGTATTTACGTGTTAGGGTTTTGGCTACTTGGCTACACAGTTGCTTTTGCAGTCCATCCAGGCGTTGATGCTATTCTTTTGACTCGGGCTTTGCAATCTTATGAATTTTTCGTTATTTATCCGGCATACCTATTTTAATACTTGCAATGGATAAAGATCCCTGGAAAGTGAGTTTCCTGCCTCACAAGTTGCAATCTCCTGCCCTTCCCTGGGCTGTCCTTACTTCCGATCTCCAAACTCCTTATTCTCCGCGAATCGTTTGCTGTCTTGAAAACTGTCCGTCTCCGCAGACTATACATCAGCATCTGTCCTGAGCACCCTTTGAACTTTTGGCATTCCTTCAGGTTTAATTGCTGCCCCGTCATCCAAAACAGCAGCCGCGGCTTTTATCTCCGATTTTGAGTAGATCTCGTTCAAGGACTGTTGACACAGTCGTCATGCCAGTCGATACCCGGGCTCATGAGCATAGTGCTGGAAACGCACGCTCGTGCAGCAGGGATGCGATGGAGGCAACTTACCACTGCGCATTTCTGTTGTGTGCGATGGGTTGGCATACTCAGGCGTGAGGATTTCTGAGTAGGATGCGTGCTTGTATGTACAACGAGTATCCGCAGTATGTACGATGGATACCTGGGCGGTGCGATTCATCGCGCCGCCTCGTCCTTTACAAACAGAACACGAATGGCGACCCGGCTATCCAACAAAATCGTTCACGCACCCATCACTCATAAAACCAATACATGGCCGCATACTGAACCTCGATCGTCGCGCCCGAGCCGCTGCAGCTCGTCGGCGCCTTCCCTCCCGCCGTCTCAACCCGATACACCTCCGTCAACCCCACACTCCCCGCCGCACCCGTCAGCGCCTTCCAATCCACAGCCCCGTACCCCTGCGGTCCCGCATTCGCCCCGGCCGGTGCCGCGATGTCGCCCACGCCGGACCCGTACAGCAGTAGCCCCTCGCCGAACAGGTCCCAGGTCGGCACGCCGGCGGCGGTGAAGTGGTGTTCGCCTATGACGGGGAGGCCGGACTGCGCGATTTGGGCGACGGTGTCGCCGACCAGAGCGTTCGGGAGCCCGTTGAGGACCGCTTGGCCTTGGCTGATGCTTAGGGTGGGGAGGAGCTGGGCGACGTTGAAGAGGGCTGCGGTGGCGCCGTCGGAGATGGGGGTGCTCGCGCTGGAGGCGCAGGTGTAGTTTTGGGTCCCGCGGCCCAGGGTTATGGATTTGAGGGTTCCGGTTGGGGAGGGGAGGGACGCCGTGCCTGAGGTTGTTAGGGTTGGTGTGGGAGGATGGGGCTGGAAGGAACGTACCGTCTGTTAGGACGGGTCTGTAGGCTGAGAGGTTGGGCGATGTGGCTCGGATTTCGTTGGGTGAAGTGTCTGGTTTCGAGGGATGGGCTTGGGCGGAGTCGGTTAAGGCGAGGAAGAACGTTAGGAGGGTGGCGCGGAAGGAGAAGTGAGAGGGAATCATCTTGGCGAGGGAGGGTGTTGATGTTTATATATGTATGTTTCAAGCCGTAATGCAATTGGCGGTCGCAGAGCTCTCATTCGAGGAAGTTGAAAAGCGGATACAGTCAAGTGGTATGTAAGAGTATCTAAGCGGTGAATGTTGCAAGAAAAAGGACGCACGGACAGCCTTGGCGGAGGGGAGGAATAACAAAGAAGCCGCCTCTGTAGTCTGTACCTTTCACCTTCTTGTATGCATCTGGGGGCTTGACAATCGAAGCAGGTCCCGACCATGCTCTTCTTATGAATATCCGAAACCTCAAAATAAAGACTAGTTACATTCCAACATTGAGACACTAGACATGTCCGTCAGCGCTTGCAATCGGTAGTGTAAGCACTTCGGCTGGGAAAACAGCAAAAGATACGTGTTCCCCTCATCAAGTTCTATTTCAAGGAGCGGACAACAAGGATTGCTGTGGGTCGATGTTCGTTTGTGCACACTACTCCCCTCTGTGAGAAAGGTAGTACAAGTAATAGCGAACGTTGGGCCGAGACCATATCGACGGACAGAGACCAAATTTGACCACGGTTCATCCTTCGAACCTCACATATGCCGCTACTATTGTAGTCCTTTGTGCGCACCACTGACAGAGAACTGTTTACCGCGCCTAGGGTTTCGAAGGCGGCCGCAGCGCCTAGGGATAATTTCTGATTGGGCTCGCTTATTAGCTGCATATCAAAGTCCCTTTCCTTTTGCGCAAATCCAGGAGTAAATTACAAATTCATACCCCAAAATCTTGGATCCTTACAAATTCATACCCCTAATTACATTTTCATACCCCAATGGGGTATGAATCGGTAATTCGCCATTCCTTGGGGTATGAAAATGTAATTTACCATAGTGCGCTGAGGTTACGTCTTCGGGGGCTGCGAAATTAGCCCGGACCGGCCCCGGGAGCCCCGAACTGAAGACCTCTGTAGGGTTCGCCGTGTAACTCGTCGAAACCTCGCTCCGAGGCTAAGGCGAGCTCTTACTGTTATAAATCCCTGACTCACCCCAATCCGCGAATTTGGGGTTCAATTTTCTAGGGGGTTTTCAAGGCTCCCGGGGCTTCTTTAGGGGCGTTGAACGCCGGGCACTCAAAGACGTAGTTTACGGAGGTCGGCACCAAAAGTCCTGGACATGCCAAGACAAGGGTCTAGGTAGGGCTGAGTGCTTGGCATACTTCCAAATTTCATGGATAGCATCATTATTCTTTATTTTAATGAGTATTAGTGCTCTATATAATAGCGACGTAGTATATATATACGAAGTACATATATACGAAGTATATATATGCGAAGTATATATATAATAGCGATATTAATAGAATATATAATAGCGATAATATTAAAGTACTAATTATAGTATAGAGAAATAGAGAAAGAGTATAAAGACTTCTAATATATAAGTTTTATTTATATAATATAATAAATAGAAATCTTCTTATTATTCTCTATCTTAATTATCTTTTATTAATATATCTAATACTTAAAGTATTAATTATAATTATTACGAGCGTATTTTATATTCTTAATATATTACTTAGCTCTCTTACTTATTCGAGCCTAGCGTATCTTAATAGAAATATTATTTATTATTTAATATCTTTCTTCTATCTATATAATTCGATATCTTAGTTATCTTATTTAAAATATCTATATTAATATTATATCTATATTAATTCTAATAATAATAATAAGACTCGAATTTAAATACTTATTAAGTCTTATTAAATATAAATAAAACGTTATATTACTCGAAAAGTATTAGAAACTTAATAATATATATAATAACTCTATATTATAGTATAAAGAGAATATTATCTATATAGAATTATTATAAATATAAGTTTTATAATAAGATAGAAAGATTAAAAGATCTTAATACGCTAAGTTTAATTAGACTATAATATAAGTAAGATTATTAAAATTATAATAAAAAGATATATTAAGAACTTATAAGAAAGTCGAAAGATAATAACTATATTATTAAAATTACGAGCTTATTTAAAAGAGAATTTAGAAGTAAATAGAGTAAATATTAAGATATAGTATAAAAGGTAATACGTCTTAAAGATAATAACGAGTATAGAAAAGATTATAGAGAAGGTGATATACGATCATACGACTCCGCTGAGCGAGCTAATGAGTATATACGCAATTATATAAAGCATTATCGTTAAATAAATGTAACTATACAGAAAGTGCCAAGAATGCCAAGAGTGCCAAGTATTTTAGCGCTGTCCAGGACTTTTGGTGCCGACCTCCGTAATAAATTACAAATTCATACCCCAAAGAATAGTAAATTACATTTTCATACCCCAAGATTTGGTGGAGGGGTATGAAAATGTAATTAGGGGTATGAATTTGTAAGGATCCAAGGTTTTGAGGTATGAATTTGTAATTTACCCGCAAATCCAGGATCCGTGATCCCCGCTTCTCAATTCCCCAGAACGTTGGAAGTTTTGTACTTTCTGATAGAAGTTCGGAAGCCTTTTCTCCACGAGTCGAGACTCCCGGGGTAGTCTCCTCTTATCATGAGACCAGTATGCAGTATCATGAGACCTTGAAAGCTGGCTCATCGTCGAGAGAAGGGACCCTCATGATGCAGCGAACTCTGTGTGGGGCAGAGGGATCGGATTGCACCATGAGCAGTTCTCATTCGAGTTCACCCTGAATATTGGGGTCGGTCATCGCGGTGCTCCGGTTAAGCCAGAACGAGGCTTCTAGATGTCTCGAATATGCTGATCCCTGCGTTTTGGTTGACCTTTGCAATCAAATATACGTCAAGTGAAGATTACGGTCCGTCTCTGTCCTTCAAGGTTCTTTGGCATATTTCGACTCCTCTGGTGATTAGGTTCCCGAGCATGGGCACGAACGCAAAGATCACGTGATCCGCGCCAAGACTTTTGCGCCATCAAACAGTTAGTGCTGGGGTAAATCACAAACTCATACCCGTATAGATGGCAAAATACCGATTCATATCTCATTGGGGTATGAATAATAGAAGAGTTCGGGGTATGCCTTTGTAAGAATTCAAGGTTTTGGGGTATGTATCTGTAATGTACCCGTTAGTGCTGACGATCTAGAATTCTCCATACTCGCTGCTCGACTATTAGTATTCATGAAAGCTGTACAAGAAATGGAGACCAGCGAGAGAATTCAACTACCTCCGGACTTTGTACGATGAAAGCCGCTTTTTGCAGAACGAGTCATTGCCTAGATGACGTTCTCGACGGCATTTGACAATGAGAAGGCATTTTTCCTAAGGAGAGGTTGCTGGAATTCGATCTGAAGGAGGGCTGGGGTCCGCTTTGTGCGTTTTTGGGAAAGGAGCAGCCCAACGCTCCGTTTCCAAGGTTGAACGAAAGGGGTGCCTTGGCGGAAAGATCGAAGGAATTTCAGAAGAGGAGTCTGTTGAATGTTTTGAGGAACTTGGGCCTAATTGTAGCTTCCGTGGGAGTGGTTCTGTTTGCAGTGGGGTGGGCACGGCAACAGTAGTCTTGAACACCGGCTCCAGGAACTTGATCTCTTTACGGGGCATGGTACGGACAGCAAACAGCATGCATATCTGGTCTCGAGCGAATGAATTATCGATATTCGCCACTAGCTTCCACAACTTCTAGTAGATGCTTCAGCATAAGAGGACTACTACCTTTTTGGCCGGATTATATCTAGTCTTTCATTGCGCTTTTGATCTCGAGCATGGATCGTCTGTCATCCCCAACGATGCTCTCGCTGACACCGGTACCCCAGATGAAAACACAAATTCGATTCAAAAGGTACTTTCGGTAGCCGCTGTGGGCCGGTGTGCGTGTGTAGAGTATTTGGCCTTAGTCTCTAGGTACGAGGGGGCCTGTGCATGAACGTCTGCAAGGTGAGATGTCAATCCCTCGCCTTCATCAGATTGTCAAAGGAGTAGTTCAGGTGTATGGATGAGAAGCATCTCAGGATCAAGTAAGTGGTAAAATCACCTTACACACGCGGTGACAACAAAGCTTACCAATCGTAGCATCAGCTTCGCGTTGACTAGTGTGTGAATATCATTTCTGTTTCGTCACTTTTGCATGCATTACACAACGTGTTTGAGAGGCTCTTGTCTGTGAATCAGTCAAACACCATACCTCTACTTTCATCAAACCCATCACAATATTCTACAGTAAACACTTACTCGCCATGACAAACACTCCTGCAAGTATCGATAGCCTCCTGGCACCGTCTAAGTTCTCGTCCGCAATCGGCCCCGATCAAATCCTTCTCATCACCATCGCCTGCCGCCTCCATGACTCCCGGCGCGGCGTCGTTCCCACAGACAACGATTTTTTCGAATACATCTTCGGTCCATCAGACGTCGTGAGAACCTTGCGAGACTTCTGCTGGGACGATGAGGTCTTCCCTTTAGGAAGTCCAGATGAAAAAGCCAGTAGGGACTTGACAGATTTTGAACATGTGATGGGGGAGAAGGGGTGGAGTAGGGAAGAGTGTGCTGCTTGGGTGAGTCCGTCCATGTTGTACTCTATGCGAAGCATCCTGCTTCGTGGATCGAAGGCTGACGATCGGCTTCGGCTTTGGGTGCAGCTGCGTGATTATTGGTGGTTGAAAGGCTTGTTGGATGAAGAGGCGGAGAGGATCGTCGGGGAGGTAGCGAAGAGCCCGGAGGAGAGAGCGGAGGACGCGGCGAGGGTTGTGGAGGAGCGAAGACAGGAACGGATTGGGGAGATTGTGAGGAAGGGAGAGGGGCTTGGCTGTGTGAGGAGCGAGAAGATGAAGGGCAATATTCGTATGGAGCGATAGGAGTGAGATGGCGTTTGATGTACTAGAGACTTGATGACCTGACAAGCAGAGATCAGATCAAGCGACCGCAGTCGACTTCGAGTAGGTGGCAACACGGTTCCTCATCCGCAGCAAGCGTTGCGCTGTACCAGCCAGCTGTCTCTGCCCAAGCAGATCTTGCATAAACAGATTCTGTTTGCTTCAGGCGCACAAACACGCAATGTCGAGAACCCCCATTTACAAAGGTCCTCTTCCCTATTCTCCACTTCTTCCGTCATCCACCTACGCATTCTCAAAACCCATCCGCCAATACCCTCAAAAGAAATCCCCCCCTCAAAAATGACCGCCTCAATACCCCGATCTTCCCCCCCGCCCTACTCCCCACCCCAACCCCCGTCCCCACCGCCCGTCCCCCCCAGCGCATCCCTCACCATCCGGCTCGCCCTGCGCATGCACGACTGCCGCCGCGGCGGCGCCGGCACCGGCGACGACGGCCACGAATATCTCAACAGAGAACTCGGCACGGATTTCTACCTGGACAGCTTCTTCGCCGACAAGCGCCGTTTCCCCCCGGAGCAGCCGCGGGACGGCGCGGGCAGGCATCTGCTCGAGCAATTCCAGGCCCTGATGTGTAAACACCCGCGGTGGCGGAGGGAGGAGTGCGACGCTTGGGTGAGTCTCCTGCCCCCGTTGCGGATCTTTCGTTTCCCCGAGCTCGGCGGTCGTCGTCGGTCGTCCGGTGCGAGACGGGAGAGGAGCCGGCGCTGATGGGATTGGTTTTGGGCAGCTGCGGGATTATTGGTGGGTGAAGGGGCTGTTGGATCGGGAGGCGAAGAGGATCGCGGAGGAGGCGGTCGCGGTTGCGGATGAAGAGGGGAGGGAAACTGGCGGGGGCGAGGCTCCCGATGGTGGGGACCCGCCTTCTGGACCGTTGGGACGGACACGTCCGGTGGACCGTCCGTCCTGGAAGGTCTAGGTGTTTGGACGGATGATTGCAACCAATGCTTCAAACGATCTGATCTGTGGCGAATATCTGAGTAAGAGGATCGAGCAAAAGTCATGCGTAGAGGGCGAAGAATTTCAACAAGATTGTAGAAGTCCTACAGTTGCCGGAAAATAACCACGATTGTTGTAGTTTTTTTCTGCAAACTGTCTTTTTACCTGCAAAAGAGAAGTTGTAGAAGTCGTACAGTTCAGGCGCAATGTCAGCGAAAAGTGACACTTTTCATATACATTCCCCGAAAATCATTGCTCTTTAGATCCTTTGACAGGATAAGTCGGTTCGTTTTGATCGAGATCTACCAAAATATGCGTAAAAAGAACCTCTATGCGTGACTTTTGCTGCATTCTCTTGTGATGAGAAAAACTGTATTTGATCGACTTCTCACACTCTCCTCGCTGATCAAGCATGCCGAAGTGTGTCTCGCACGTTGCGTGCAGCGACACCATTGTGGCAAAGTTCTTTTCAAGCGTATTAGCCAGCGCTGGGGTCTTGTTTGCCGATGACTAGGAACGGACCCCGGCCCCCCCCCCCTTTTTTTCCTCCTCTCTTTCCCCTTTGACCACCTCAGTAATCTCTACGCTCTCCACCCCCCCTTACGAAACAGTACCGTTTACCCCCACCCCCGTGGCCTGCAAAACGACACTCAACCACCAATCCTTCCCCAGCCCCACCCTTACCTTCCCCAAAACATTCCTCCCTTCCACACTCCCCAAAAAGCACTTGCTCAGCACCCGTATCGCCGGTCCCAACAAATCTTCCACCGCAAAAACATCTCCCCGTAACCCCCCATCGACCAGTATATAACAGCCTCCTTCATCAGTCTCGGGACCCCACTGTCTGAACTCGCCAGGATCCCAGATGATCACCGTGTGGATGAGAGGAGTGCTGTAGAGGCGGAAGAGGGATGGAATGCAGTCGGAGAAGTCGGTGAAAGGTGCGAGGTCGGGGTGGGGGAGACAGGTGACTCGGTTTAATGCGTTCATGTTGGCTGTGAGGTTTGCATCGCTGGGTGTGTTGTTCAACGCTGGGAGCGTGAGAGCGGAGAGAGAGGAGGCGGTGGTGAGTCGCACGTGGAGTAAGAGAGCGAGAAGGGCGAGAAGTAAGCCTGCTGGCTTGGGCTGTGAGGGCCACATCGTTCTTGCTGTACCCGAGATGTTGCTAGTTAGGGTTTAATGAATTTGAGGGAGAGCCGCGAAGATATTAATGCTGGTCCAAGGCTGGTCTGATAAGCGCTTCACTTGCATGCAGGCGTCTCTGGAGACCGCGTTCTTATTTAGTAAGCGCCAATGCATCTCGTGAAGCATGCAGTATTCGAAGTGGCATGTATTCCACAATTAGCTAGACGGAGTAAGAAGTCATTTGCATCGGGCGAGTCACAGTCATCAGACTGCATTATCTGTCTCTCGATTCCGCAAGTCAGCAATCAGAGCAACGGGGATGGGGAAATGTATGACAATGAACCTCGCATCACACGATTGGTGTGGTCTGTTGAGCTAGTGACCGTGACTGAAAGGTTCAAAAGAGTGATGCAAAAGAAGGGTCCAACAGAATTACTCGAAAGAAGATTGCTGCCGCGATGGCAATGAGCAAGTCACAAGTCGACCCACATCTTTACCGTCAGGCTCAAAATTCCATCACGAAAGAAGGTCCAGGGAGTTTGTTCATGCCAATTGCTTCAGCAGCTTCATGACCGGAACCACACATCTTGTAAATGCTTCCTTGCCATTGGTCTGTCCCTTGGGTCTAGTTTCATATTTTCTGCGATGAGATCCCTATCCGGCCGTTCCAGTTCATCTTCTTCGGACATAGAGGATGGAAGACACTTTTGGTTCTCCTGAATGTAGACCATTGCACCAATGCAGATTGCTAGGCGTCCAACGTCCGCAATCTCTTCGAAGCTGTCATTGAAGGTTCCAAAGCGTCTGAATTGCTCATTCAAATACCCAAAACCCGTAATGCTTATTGTCAAAGGGGATGTTTGCTGGGCTACATATACGCCAGTTTCCGCCGAATATGAGATTGATCAGCTGCGTAAATTAGCAAGAAACGTCTGGCAAGAGGTTCAATTGTCTACGTACAACTGCATTATGAGACTATATATCCGTTGGCGGACCCTATTTAAGGTTCAATTGTGCCTCCTGGCGCGCATTTGAAGCATGGATGAATGACATGGTAGCTTACCTGACTTTCCAAACATCTCTGTCTTGCGTGAATTGCTCCTAAACGTTGTACGAGCCTGTTTTGCCGCTTAGCCGATGACTTACTCTACTGCCATTGTTGCGGCGACCTCGCCGGTCATGCTCAGATATCGAGTGGTAGGACGCATGTAGGCATGAGGTAAAGCTGGCTGGCAATAGAAGATCGACCTAGTGAAATGACAGCAATGTATATAATAATATCTTGATACTCCTGTCTTCTAGGGGCCCCTTTTACGACACTTTTTTTCTCATCTGATCAGCTTAGATTTTCAACCTTTCTTTTGAAGCAGGGATTTGATAACGTGTCTAGGAAATCATCCTAATCGCTTTTGGGGTCAATGCCTTGCTGCTTTGCTTGTAACTTTCTAAAGACTTTACAAGCCCCAAAAGGCCAAAGTAACGTCCAACAATCGAAAGAGTAGAATCGATAGAAAGAAGTCTGCTCATTTAGGTATTTGGAAAGCGCAAAATTTGTATCTATTCACGTTGGGTGTTATTTTCTGTAGATTACCCACCTATGCCACGATCTCAAAGACCTTTTGCTTGAGGTTCAGGTTGTAGAGCTGGAATTCAGCTTCAGAAATTGCTCTCGGCGCCAAGGTTGCATAGTATTTCCATGCATGTATCGAAGACCCTGGGGCTGATGACTGAAATACGTGGTCGCAGAACTACATTAACCCTAAGCATATGCTGAACTTTAGGAAAGTCAGGACGGTGAAGCATGCCCGTTTCGTGTGTCACATAGGTAAATAAATAGCCACACAATGCGAACATTCATAGAATTGAGTGAGTCGCATCGATCACTTAGCTCACGCGCTAAAAGCGGCAGCCCTGAGCAACCCATTTCCCGACTGAGTTGGGGGCAGACTACTGTCTTCTTCTTTGACTACATAGTCATTGCCAAAACTGATGCCTACCATTATCTTCAGAGCATGTTGTACTTGATTATTGCCGAAGAGTCCTACCACTGAGTCCGTCAGTTGAGCCCTCTCAGACGGTTTCGTCACGTCCGTCAGACAATCAACAATCTGGTGAGTATTGCTTTCCATGTAGCATTACTAGACAACGCTGCCTTCAATCTGGCTCATCTCATGCGCTTCGCTCTTTTCGGTATGCGTACCCTTCGGACCAAAACCCTTGTGAGGGGTTTCTTACCGCCACAAGATGCGTGAAAACCACCTTCCCTTCTTGGAGCTGATGTGCACGTGGTCTGCATTTGAGAGAAATAAGTGTCTCGGACCGAGTTCAATTTTCAGGCTATCAACGCATGTTACAAAGCCATGTAGTTGTCGGGACATGGGTAAGTCAACTTACGATTGAGACTGATTACCTTGTGCATACGTCGTATTGTCACCCCGCGATCACGAGGTATTGAAAAGTGCGGGGACGGCTTAGGGAGAAAGAGCCCTGCATGGATAGTACTAACTTTGCAGCCGGTGCAGCAACGTCTTTTTATCCGAAGGATCCCATCGACTGGCCACCTCCGTGCTTATGCACCTTGGCGCCAAGCCAAATATGCACGCTGCCAGCCGATGGGATCGAGAGATAGAAGCATATATAAATCCTCAAAGCCCCGTCATCTCTTTTCAGTTCGAACCGTTGCTTCATTTCGATAAGTTTGCAACATGATGAGCGTCAATTGTATCTGGCTGCTGAGCCTCATTGCCACTTTCACCATTGCTACCTCCAACAACTTGCCTCTGAAGCTTTCAGTCAAGATTCCGCTCGACTCTCAATCAGCAAACGTGCATATCACCAGCGTAGACAGTTCTGCCTACCCTTTCACAGTCTCATACGGCGGGTGCCACTCTGCAACCAGCCAGCATGAAGCGCATCACACCATCTCCACAGTAATCGAACAAGGCTCCGACCGTCTGGTCTGGATCCTTCCCGAAGATATCCCCACAAACGGCTGCCTTTCCGCTTGGTCCGCACGGCACGAGCTCGTTGGGCGCAGTGAGCCGTTGGAGGTCAACAAGTTTAGCAGACCCTGGATTAAGAAGCGAGAGTTGGATCGAGGGACGAGGTTAAGTAAGAGGGCGAGCATCCCTATGACCAATGCAAGTGGCATCGATGCGCAGGGTCCTTGGTTCGATGGGGTCGAGTTGCTAAAGCAGAAGGAGATTGGAACTGTCAGTGTCAATGAGGCCAAGGCAAAGAGTATGTTCGATGGGAAGTATTAGCAAAATGTGGGCGTAATGCTGATCCAGTGCGCAGAAATTGCCATTGTGGGAGCTGGCATGGCTGGCTTGATGACATTTGTGGGTGACACTATCTTGAAATTAGCGGTCCTAACGTGTCTCGCAGTTGTGTCTGAACATGAGTGGCTTCCACAATTTGGAGATAATAGAGGCCGGCCAGAGACTTGGAGGGTAAGCAGCCGCAATGGGAGCGAGGCGAGCATGCGCGCTGACCGTTAGTACCATCAATCTCAAGTCGCGTCCACACAGCATATCTGGAAGGCGGTCCATTTGATTACCAATACCAGGAGATGGGACCTATGCGCTTCCCGGAGAGTATCCAATATGCGGGAACAAACGAGACGCTGCAAGTCAATGACATGAAGCTCACCTTCCAGCTTGCCGAGTTTATGAACACGCTGAACAAAGGCCATGCAAACTTCACCGTAAATTTCATTCCCTGGATCCAGAATAACCCGAACGGATTACAATATTTCCACGGGATCAAGAAGCCGAATGGCCTACCGCCAACCATCACTGAGGCGAAGAACAACAAGAATTTGACTGCGCAAATCCCCATCGATCCACTTGTCACCAAATTGACAAACACCTACAACGATATAGTCTGCGATCCGACTCTCATGGCGGCTGCAGCAAAAAATCAATTCACAGCCCACAAGGCATTTCTTGACACTGGCTTGGATGGTCTTGGAGGTGACGACTGGTCGGAGTTTGCTTACTTCCACAATGTCCTCAAGTACTCGCTCAATGTTACCGATCAGGTAATCTCAACATCAGCGGCAGGAGAAGGCGGAGATTCTTTTTGGGAAGATATGTATGGTGCACTCTTCACTTGCGAAGCCTGATGTGCTGACGCAACACACCAGCTACGACTGCGAATACTTTTCAGCTACAAAGTGGAGGACCATTGACGGGGTAAGTTTTGGTCAAACATTGAGTGCATAGCATCCGTCACTTAGCAAGATTTAGGGGCTTAATCGACTGCCATACTCGTTCTATCCGCATGTTGGTGCTATCACGACCATGAATCGTATGATCGAGAGAGCGGAGTTTTTGCCCGAGACCAACCAGGTCCAGTTGTCATGGAAGAATAGCTTCACCGACGTTGCATTCCAGAATGCGACCTATGACTATGCGATGATTGCTGTGCCGTTCTCCAAGGTCCGAAGTTGGCGGTTCCCGAACACCTGCATGTGCTTCCTTACCTGTGAAACTGGTCTGTCTTGCTGACTGAGAACAGTATTTGATCCAACTCTCACGGATGCAATTAGTGCTGTGCCGTATACCACTGTCTGCAAGGTGAGACTCTGCTCCGTAGCTTCATGGAACTGTCCCAGGCTCATCAGCCGCAGGTCGCGCTCCAATTTCAGACACGTTTCTGGGAACACTTTGAGCTGCCAATCTTTGGCAGTTGTTCCACTACGACAGATATTCCAGGTATTGGCGAAGTTTGCTACCCCAGCTATAATCTCAATGCCACGGGCCCAGGCGTTATGTTGGCGAGCTATACAGATGCGGACTTCGGTCTTCGGTTTGCTTCATTGACGGAAGAAGAGCATGTCCAGTACGTCTTGAACGCGATGATTGAGATACATGGAGACGTGGCGCGGATTCAGTACACCGGCAAATATAACAGGAAATGCTGGGTGCTCGATCCGTTGGAGAGCGCCAGCTGGGCGTCGCCATCCATTGGCATGCACGAGCTGTATATTCCCGCTTACTTCAAGACCGAGAACAATGCAAGTGAATTCCCTGCAGACTTGTATGGTAAGCCGGCTGACGTTGGAGCAGATGATTTTTGTTGGGGAACACACAAGGTAAGCCATCCGCTTCTCCGACAAAGTCCACATCCCAGCTTCATTGAAAATCATCCTGCTAACTCGCCTCGAGCTATACGCACGCGTGGAGTATGCCACAAGAACCGAGTCCTGCTCGAGAAAGACAAAATTGCTGACTGATCTCTAGTTGCCTCCGCCTTGGAGTCTGGCATTCGGGGAAGCGTGCAGCTCATGCTTGAGCTAGGCCTGGTAGATGAAGCCAAGGAGATAACGAAGACGTTCATGGCCCGCTGGATAAGCATCTGATGTTGTCGATCACGTTGATTTTGCAAGAAATTGCGGATCATCGTGTAGCCGACCACAAGAGTTTGTCATTGAAGAATTAGTACAGGAGACCGATTCCCTGCCCCTTGTGGCCCGCGCAAATCCTCAATGATTCTGTATCTGCCACATAAATATGTTCTAACCCAGATGGTTTGCGGGAGTGCGAGCTCCGGAGACCAAACGAAAAAAAAACTTGTAGACTCAAGCTCAAATGTTCGATACATCTGACAGTCTTGAGGATGAAAGGTTACAGTGAATGAGACTGTCTCGAGTCGATGTAGTATATTAATTATCGTAGTTCACGGCTCGACCTCGAGAGATTTCTCGTCTCTAACCATCCTCGTGCCAAAGCCACGCCCCACCAACAACATAACATACTGACCTTCCTCCCAAGTGTCCTATGCTCTCCTTCACTCCTGGTCTGACATTCCCGTCTCAATCCCCCCTGAAGCATCTCAGGTCTCGTCGCACGGAATTCGAAGAGAAACTGGCTAAACGAAGGACCTGATAGATCGGGTTTGTGCTTTGCAGATGCAAATGTTGTCTCATCAGTGACGCCGCGGCAAGAGGATTGGAATCACTCCCCGAATGTGTGAATGGAGATCCTGACGCAGACTCGAACTCCCAAACGCAGCTCTGACTGAGAGCCAACACCGCGTGTATTCCATCTTTGAACGGGCACAGGCGCCGCTATACCGGAGGGAAAAAATCATTCCCCCGGCGAGCGTACCGTGTGCGGACTGAACAGCTCGCTGCTGTCGGTCGTACGTAGCTATCGCATTGAGCGCCGCTCCGACGCTTCTGTCGTGTACTGACCCTGAGCCCTTGAAAGAGAGAGGAGGTGAGCCGCACTGCGTGTGGAATGGTGCTGCAGGGATGCTCGCGATGGTTGGGAGTATGCGTAGAGGGTATGTGAATTCATATGAGGAAGGAAGAAATGTTTTAATAAAGGAAATTCCTTGTAGATAGAACAAGGATTTTTAGGGGAATTTGAAAACGAGAAGGTTATGAAATCGTTACAATTCCCTAGCAACTGTCGGACTTTTTCAATTCCATCGACCCCTATACATACTCTTTGCCACATACTCTTACAAAAATTTATATGGAACGGATCGTGTTCGCGCCGGTTCTCAGCAGTTGACGCTGTCCGGAAACGGGCGCACTCAACCCGCCCCCGTCGCTTTTCAGGTAGCGTAGCGTCTCTTGACAGGAAAAGAAAAGGAGACACCGTCAACGTATCGTGAGCGAAAAGTGCTGAAAAGGCGACGGGGCTCCAACTTTGAGAGCTGCAAAGGATGAGAGGATGAGAGGATAAGAGGATGAGAGGATGAGAGGATGAGAGGATGAGATGGGGGATGGGGTCGCTGCGGGATTGGGCTGCGGGGGGGACGAGATGATGGTGCTGGTGCTGGTGTATTAGAGGGCGGTGAGAGATGCGGGTTGTGTTGCTGCTGGCCTATCATAAACTTGGTAGAAATTACGACGTCACTTCGATGGCCCGGCTCGCTTGCTGTGTATATGGGAACGGTAAGCTTGAGTGAGCGAGCGAGAGGCAGGTCTCTGTCGTCTTCTCTCGTCAGGCCATGTAAATGTTCTTCAGCCATAAAACAGCCGACGACCGCAAGTAAAGTTAAGAACGATGACAATGGATGGGCGAGTGAGGTTTTATTCTAGGGCAAATATACGAGATCTAGATTCTCTTTTGCAGAGATTGTGCCTTCAAAAGTTTATCGATCAGGCGGTACCATTCTCCGTTTCCTGGTGATGCCTTTTGTTTTCTTCTTCTTCCTCTTCACGGCTCTTGTAGCCCAAGAACATCTTCAGCATCGCCAAGTCGTAGCTTGCTTTCATCGCCCCAGCGATCAAGAAAGCCACCCAGAACTTCCCAATCTCTGCGAGCCAGCCTGTAGCAATCGGTCCACCGCTCTGGCTGAGAGTCTTCACGACATTGACGACACCCATGATAGCCGTTCTCTCGCTAGGTAAGACTGCGGCGGAAAGAAAGGCCTGACGGGGGGCTTGGTCCATGTTCTGCATGCAGGACCGGAGGATGAGGAACGTCATGGACAACCACGCATGGCTAGGGAGTGGTATAAGGGCGAGGAAAATGGCCGAAGGTAAATGTGTAAAGACCATGGTCTTGATCAATCCAATTCGCTTTGCGAGTGAAGACGCTGCAAGGTTTGAGATGGAGGAAATGATGTTCGTGGCGAAGAACAGGGTGCCAAGTTGGCCTTCTGGGATTTTGAACTTGCGATTGAAGAAATAGGTGATCCAAGACAAGGGGACGAGACCAGAAGCCAGAGAGTCGACGGCGAAAAGCAGACAGAGCTTGATGAGGATACTGCGCGAGGCAGGGGAGATTGCTGGCCAGATCGATTTCCTCTTCATTTCCGGAAGCGGTGCGCGTGCCTTCGATCGGACATGCTGTTCTTGGCTGTCTTCGTCATCCGAGAGCAAACCTTCAAACTCCACGTCGTCCATCTGATGCACCTCATCGTATTCCTGCTTTGGCTGTTCGGGCTCGCATTTGTCGCTTAGCATGAGAGCGAGCAGAAGCTTGACGATTCCCAGAATAGCGTAGATGCCGAATATGATTCGGTAGGCACTTGTCTCGGACCATTCTCCTCCTCTGAGATGCGCCTGTACTATCCAGCCACACGCGACAGAACCGCATGCCGTGCCCGCGTTGCCAAGTAATGTATACCAGGCGAAGATGTCGCTGCGTATCTCTTTGGCCGTGAGCTGGGCAAGTGTGGACTCCTCGATTGCTCTGAATGGACCGATTTCGTTGCCACTAGTTGACAATCAGCATCTTCCGTCTTAAGGTGCGAGAAGGTACGTACCTCGGGCTTATGACACCAAATATACTCGCTGCCACCAGAACCCAGTAGTTTCCACTCAGGGCAAACACAACACCACTTGCACTCATCAATGCCGCCCCAAGTATGAGAATCCGCCTTCTTCCTAGCCCGTCGGCGACAAGTGTAAGGAGGAAGCTGATAACAACATCTCCGAGGAGGGTGAGGGTCATGAAAAGTCCAATGCGAGCATCCGAGGTGCCAAGACTCGAGAGATAGAGGGCGAGTATGAGCGTCGACGCTCCGTAGGCAAACAGTCGGGTGAATCGCTGCAGACATAAGAGCTTAGTATCTCTGGAGGATTGTGCTATGGAGAACACGCCGAGCTCTTCAGCTACGTTGAACAGGAAGGATTTTGCTCTCGAAGCCATGCTGTAGACGCGCCTTGCATAGCATCAATGTTTAACCTTTTTTTTTCATGCTTGAGAGCTGCAATTGTCTCGAGACAGATCCGTATGTATGACGACGTGGGGAATACGGATAGCACCTCGGACTTCCGAGCCATGGCCGAAAAGTATTCCCGAGGGAGCACCAGGGCTAGTATTCACCGCTTCTGCGAATCATCTTTCGAGATATTTGAAGGTCAAAGATCTGGGGGCGGCCTGGTCAGACAAAGCACTAACAATTGGGCTGCATGTTCAAGCTTGAGTATCTCTTGGCATGAGTGTCGAATGGGAGAGTGGTTCGGTGTCTGCCGGAAGGAACACGGTACGAGTAGCAGAAGCAGACGGAAGATCGGCGTTTGCAGTACGAATTCTCCAAGATATCGCATACAACAGTACACCTTGAGCAAACATTGCGCCGTGGAGGCTAAACAATCGCTTTCCTCGAGCATCCTTAGAGCTCTTCGCCTTCCATGCGAAGGAGGTAATCTCTAATGCGCTTCCAACCGATTGCGCTGCACTTCTGATACCCGCCAAGTTACCAATATGCCGATCCAATTCCCTGCGCTTCCTAGCTGGTCTACGACTAAGACGACTTCAAAACAAGGCTTCGACAAAGTATACAACCTCGTCGACAAACTTGGTGCTCCGGTGAACAAACTCTCAAACAAATTAGGATCGGAAGCGTTCTGGCCAACTACGCTCGATAAAGAATCAGACAAGGCTGCGCGAATCCTGCGCAGTTTTTGCAAAGATGGCTTCTATGTGGAGGACGAGAACCACCTCTCTAACGGTGTCATTGATGCTGATAAGCCTAGCGGGAAACAGAGGGTAATAAAGAAGATACCGACGGAAGTGATCAAGAGAGCGAAGGGGCTAGCAATCTTTACAACTATGAGGACAGGCTTGTGGGTCAGTGGAGCTGGAGGATCGGGGATTTTGGTTGGCAGGAAGGAGGATGGCAGTTGGTCACCGCCTTCTGGCATATTACTACACACCGCAGGCCTAGGATTCATGGTTGGTGTCGACATCTACGATTGCGTGGTGGTCATCAACACGGAGAAGGCGCTGGAAGCGTTCACCAAAGTACGGGCTACGCTTGGAGGGGAGATCAGTGTCGTGGCTGGGCCGGTTGGGATAGGTGGGATATTGGAGACGGAGCTGCATAAGAGACAGGCACCCGTATTCAATTACATGAAGAGCCGAGGGTTCTACGCTGGGGTGCAAATCGATGGGACATTGATCATCGAGCGAGGGGATGAGAATGAGAGATTTTACGGACAAAAGTTGTCTGTTGCGGAAATCCTAGCAGGCAAAGTCAGGCACGACCCATACGAGACTCGGACACTCATGGCTACGATCAAGGCAGCTCAGGGTGACAATGTCGATGAAGGCTTGATAGCACCAGCCGAGCCTACACCTGGGGACTTTGAAGTGGCGGATGATCCAGGTACGGGGTTCGGTCTGCCACCCTCGGAAGATGACCCAGACCCTTATGGAGTCCACGCCTTAGAGGAGCAAGGTATGGAGATCAAGGAGATCACAGAAGCTGGCACAAAGGGTAGGCCAAGCAGCGATGCCTTTGAATACAAACCTTCACCACACAGCCCAATCTTCAGCAATTTCAATCGACAGAACAGTGTCGCAAAGAGAGATTCCAGAAGAGACAGTGGTCGGCTCAGCATTGCCAGCATCGATCGGGGCACGCAGACCGCTGAGCCACTGCAGATGCCAACCTTCGCAGATTCAGCCAAAGGACCAGGAAGCCATAGCCCAGTCACGAAGACGTCACAGAACCTTGCAGATGATGTTGACGATGGTGAGCCTGTTCATGATCTGGATAGTCACGAGGAAGAAGCCCGCGAGATGCCAGTCATCCAGAAAGCCAAGGTGGTTACCATACCTAAGAGGATACCACCAGCTCTACCACCCCGAAGTCCTTACCGGAATTCAGGGTCGAAGAGCGCTAGTCTCGATCTACCCACAAGTCCTCTTGCACAAGACCATGAAGAATCAGGGTTGGGTATCAATCTCGGTGGTCCACCACATGATCAAATCAACGGCGAAAGCGAAGGCTCCCACCCAGAAGTTCAAGGCGGGCTTGAGGACCAGCTGACTGAAGTTCACCTAGCTCCCAATCATGATTTTGAAAGGCTGTCGCCGAAGAAGGATGGTTTCGATGAAGTCTCAATGAGCGGATCAGACTACTCTCGTGCGCCTGCAGAAACGCCCATTAGGATGGAGGACCAGGAGGCGAACAGCGGACCTGCTGTTAGTATTGGAAAGGAGAATGAAGGACTTGCCAAGGCAGTAGCTCATGAGGACGAGGAGTTCCATTCGATTCCCAGCACGCCGTTAGAAGCATCTTACCCTGGAGCATGGAAAAGCGGATAGAGAAGGTTTCTCATAGAATTTTACGGTGTGTTGCTTGTCTTTACAGACCTTTGGGATGACTAGACGACAGCTTTTACTTCGCTATATTATTAACTTCAAGTTCTTCGTTCTGCATTATACGAGTGTTGCGCAGTGTCTCACATACTCCAAAAACGCCAAGAAATATGTACCTGGTGCCTGACGCTAAGCCTAGAGGGGCGGAAATCTGCCGCCAAAAAGATTACAATAACAATGGAAATATATCTTCCCATCTCCATCCCCCATCTTGAATATTGACACTCAACAACCAAATTACTTGCAAACATGGCCACTCCACTCAAGGACTGCGTAATAGCCTTGAGCGGGAAGTTCGACGAGACGCATGGTAAGCAAGTAATCCTCACACCACGCTGCTTTACGCTCAGCGCAAGATTCCACAAGGTACCTTTCGATTTCTAACCTTGCTCTACATTGCAAAGCGAAGATTGCAGCCTTGATCAAGAAGAATGGCGGCAAACACAGCACCAAGATCTCTCAAGAGGAGGAGGCTTGGTGGGTTACACACCTTATTACAACTGCTAAGCACATCGAAGCCCAGGCCGAGAAAGGTGAGACCTTCAGCTATTCATCCTTCCAACTACCCATGGCGTCAATCGTCTCTTTACATGTTCTGTTCCTGACTTTGAATATCTGCTCTCTTGAAAACTCGGGTCGTTTCCAACAAGCAGTCAGATCTCTCCCTGTTGTCATCCTTCACCTCTCGCTCAGCTCACCGCATCTCCTCAACATGGCTCTTTGCAGCCTACCTTCTCCTCCTTCACTCTACACTCAGCTAACGTTCGGTGCTTGTCTCTGTAAAAGTCCAGGAAGCTAGCAAATTGCCTGACATCAAAATCGTCAGCTTCGACTGGCTCACGGCTTCGACCAAGAGCCAAACCCGTGCCGATGAAGCTCAATTCTCACTCGATCAAACAGGTTCTGATCAAAACAACGCTACCAGCTCAATGGACCTCGCGCCTTCCAAACAAAACGACACCAAAGGTAAGGGCAGGAAGCGGCCGCGAAGCCCGACCCCGATCGAAGAAGACCATTCCGATGTCGACAAAGCTGTGGAACAGCCGCCTACGAAGAAGCACAAGGACGTGCAGAGAGCAAAGTCTGGTTCCCTTCTGATCCCAGTGGACGAGAGATGCCTTCTTGCAGGTAAGACTTCTGATCGCGAGTCTTTCCAGGCGGAAGCCTTACCAACTGACGGTAACAGGGACTCACCGAGTATACATTGGCGAGGATGGGATGATCTACGATGCGGCCTTGAACCAAACAAACGCAGGGGAAAACAACAACAAGTTCTACCGTGTTCAGGTTCTTGTGTCTGGGGCTGGCGATTACAAGACTTGGACACGCTGGGGTAGAGTTGGCGAATCAGGGAAAGGCACGACTCTTGGGGATGGTAGCTTGGAAAGCGCAATGGTCTCCTTTGAGAAGAAGTTCAAAGAGAAAGCTGGAGTCACCTGGTCCAACAGATTCGACGCGCCAAAGGGAAGTAGGCAGAAAGGATACTACACCTTCATCGAACGCAAGTACGAAGACGACTCTGATGATGATGATGATGATTATGATGATGATGCGGAAGATCTACCTACTGCTAGCACCAGTGGAGCCTCGAAGAAGGGGGCCACTGTTAGCCATGTCGAGCGAGCTGACAGTGCACTTCCAAAATCCGTCCAGCGACTCATGGAGTTAATCTTCAACCAGCAGTACTTCGCAGATACGATGCGGGAATTGGACTACGACGCAAACAAGCTACCTCTAGGGAAGCTGAGCAAGCGCACTTTGGAGAGGGGTTTCGAGATCCTCAGAGACCTTGGTGAACTGCTTATGGATCCATCTATCGCCGACAGCAAGCACAACATGACTTGGCTTGACGCCATTGCAGCTTGCAGTAACGCTTTCTATACCGTCATCCCTCATGCTTTCGGTCGGAACCGACCGCCAGTAATCTCATCCGATGAGAAGTTGAAGAAGGAAATCAGCTTGATGGAATCACTGAGCGATATGCAGATTGCTCATGTCATCATGAAAGACACCGGGGGAGACGTTGCTATCAATGCGCTCGATCGCCAATTTGCTGGGCTAGGATTGCGGGAGATGACGCCTCGTAAGCTTTGATTCCTCTCTTGTAGCAGATTGTGGTCTTGTTATTCTTAGTGCTCCATCATTGCTGGCTCTGAACTGTGACATAATCTCATTGACTGATGTCTCCTCAGTCAACATCGTCTCGGACGAATTCACGCTCCTCCAGGAGTACCTGATCAAATCTCACGGACATACCCATCATCTCTCATTCAAGGTACAGCTCTGTCCGCTTCAGTCAATCTCCAGACACTTACCCCGTATCTTTAGGTCCAAGACATCTTCCGCATCGAGCGTAACGGCGAAGAGGAGCGTTTCGAGCAGTCACCTTACGCAAAAGCAAAAGGTAGCGACCGCCGTCTTCTCTGGCATGGCTCTCGAGTCACCAACTACGGCGGTATCCTGTCTCAAGGCCTTCGTATCGCTCCTCCAGAAGCTCCAGTAAACGGCTACGCGTTTGGCAAGGGCGTCTACCTGGTACACGCCCATTTTTATTCCTTCCAAATAAAACCCCGACAAGCCATGCAATAGGCCATGCAATCCCATTACTGACACCACCATAGGCCGACATTTCCTCCAAATCCGCCAATTACTGCCAGTCCCATGCTTCCAGTAACACCGGCCTCCTTCTCCTTTGCGAAGTCGAACTCGGCAAACCGATGCTCGAACTCGAAATCGGCCGTTCTGATGCTGCGGAATTGGCTAAACAGCACGGATGCATTGCCACCTGGGGTAGAGGTGCTACTGCTCCTAGGGGTTGGAAAGATGCGGGTTGCGTGAATGCGGATTTAAAAGGGGTGATGATGGTATGTGTTTGCTCCAGCCAGATTGTTGAGGACTGGGGTGATACTGACCGAAAGTGACAGCCTAACACGACCAAGGAGCCAGGTCCGGCGAACTATGCGTCTAGCTATCTGCAATACAACGTACGCTCTCACCTCTTCCATTCTACCCAGAAACCCCGCGCTTACAGAGAGTAGGAATACATCGCCTACGACATAGCCCAGGTCAAGCTCCGCTATCTGCTGCGCGTGGAAATGACGCCAGGTGGGTATGGGTACTGAGCCGCGACGAGTGCCTCACGGCCCAGAGTAGGGCAGGTTTGAACCCTGACGGAGAGAAACCATTGGGTGAAAGATATTCTTTCGGTTTTACACTGCTTGCTATGGCTATTAAAGTTCGCAGAGATACCCGCTTACTCCGCTAGCTTGATAGGCAGCAGGAGCGACAGGAGCAAATGTTGTTTCATATATTGATGGCATTGCTACTCTTAGAATCTGGATGGGTGGAAACCGATGCTATGCCGCTCTAAATGCATTTATTTTCACCAACTCTCATGCAAGAATGGAATTGCTCCTCTGTTGGAGCTGAAAATATTCAAGCCATCCGGCCCAATAGCCTTCTCATATTGTATACCCGCCATCCATACTCAAGCCTTCCCCATTGGATCCACCTCCCGACCCGCCATCACCATTCACTCCCTGACTCCACACATCATCCATGGCCCCGCCGGCCATGCTCATATACCCGCTCTTCCCCTTCCCCCTGCTCGCTCCCTCCACCATCCCGAACTTCCGCCCCATTTCCCGCGCTTCCTTCACACTCCTGCCTAGGCTCCCGAGTAACGACACCAGCTCCACGTCCGATTTCTCGGCGAGCGTTTCCTGCCGGAACGTGGAGTGGTGTTCCGGTGGTAACAGGAGGGGGAGTCGCGATAGCAGGGCGAGGATCGAGCGGAGCAGAGGGTGGTTGATTTCGGAGATTGGGGCGTCGGTTGGGGGTGTGGTGGGGTCTGAGGGGGAATCGGTGGTGGTGGTCGTGAGGTAGGATGGTGGCAGGGATGTGAGGTAGGCTTTGAGAAGTTGGATGCGGGCGTGGAGCATCTTTACTGCGTTCGCGCGGGCGGTGAGGGATGCGATGACTGCCTCTATTATTAGCAACGGCATTGCGGGAAGTGAAGGGTGGAATGGCGGTCGCATACGCTCTTCATCCTCCGAACTCAACATGCTCGAATCATCCACGGCCTTACTCTCCCTGTCCACCGCTTTCCCCTTCTTGTCCACCTGCCCAACCGCCTTCTGCGAGGCCTGCCCTTTCGTATCCTTCGCTGCGCTGTCGATCGCCGTGGCGTTCCCTCCGCCCCTGGCCACGAAGTCCACACTGATCATCTCCGCTTCCCCGGTCTCGACGCTGTAGGGCAGTTCGCGGAACTTCAGCTCCAGCGGCGCTTCGGCGCCGTCGACCTCCATGCCTTGGCCTTCGTTGTTCTCGTAGACGCTCTCGTAGATCGTGAGCGGGAGCTTGCCGCCCACCGCTGCCCCTTCTTCGAGCACGCTGGCCGGGTGGAAGGCGAGGAGGACGGCGGTTTCGTTGTAGGTGTGTAAGATCTGCTGGTGGATGGGCACATGCGCGCCCTCCGGCCCCGTCACGGGGATCGTGGTGAACCATCCCACCAGCTCCAGAGCTGGAGCCAGATGCACATCTTTGTACTGCTGCAATCGGTCTTTGAACCACGTCTCGTGCAGCAGTATCTGTCCGTTGTATTGCACGGTCTGGCATTCGAAAGCGTGCTCGAGGCTGACTGAGCGGCCGGACTGTTGGCCGATGAGGGCACCTACTATGGGGGTTTCCTGGCGGCGGAGCGTGTGACGGGTTATGTAGTCGGAGATTGTGAGGAGTATGAGAGGGTGCAGGTTGATGTGGAGGTCGGAGGAGGGGGACTGGTGGGTGGAGAGCAAAGAGGTTGGGGTGGGGGCCATGGTCAGGATTGGATGATGTGGGTGCGATCAGTGATTGGTACCAGTCGCCTGAAAAGCCGACGTTTGAGGCTGTGATTCAGACGAGCTTCCTTCGGTGAGAAAGTTGTATTGGCCGTCAAGTATCAGAGATGTTGAAGGGCGTCTATAGGCTTGGCGTAAAACTACGCTAAGGTACCTGAGTGAAGGGCTATGAGTTTAGAGAACTGTATTCAAAATGTATTGTTTACGGGACTACCTTTACCTTTCAGCGGCTGTTAAGTAATAGCACTAAACTACCGATAGATTCATACCACGTTATATATGCTGATAGGTTTTATTTTTATTAGAAAAACGAATATAGGGATTCGTTGCGATGTTGCTAAGCCTACAAGTGTTGGTTTTGACGGCTTATGGCCATTAGCCACAATGTGGCTGGGGGCTACAGCCATATAGCCATGGGCAACAGCCATATAGCCATGGCTATGGATTTGGCAAGCGACTTTTTGCATTTATATCAGGCCCATGCCCACTTGCATGAAGTTCTTTCCTTATGTTCTACCTATCTATGTATGCGATCTATTTACATAGCATTCATATTCATATATAGCCCTAGCCCTAGCCCTAATTGTATTGGGCATAGCCTACCATATTGCCAACAACAAGTACTCATATTCACTAGAATTTGCAATCTACTAGGATTTGCAATCTCTAAAACTTAATCTTTATAATTTATCATTCCATAGCATTATAATAAGAAACTCGAAAAAAATCCTAAGAGGATATAAAATACGATTTTTATATTTTTAAGAATTCTTAAAATCGAGGTAATAATAATTAATTTATATAATAGCGTAATAAACTTCGACGATTATATCTTAATATACTATTTTATAACTTTATTAATTTAAGTCTAATTAAGAAAAAGAAAAAAATTCTAATAACTATATTTTATATTCTTTTAACTTTTCTTTCTAGTTTTTGATTATATTGTTGTAGAATAATAAATTTTAAGAATTAGATTTTGAACATTGCAAATCCTAGTAGATTGCAAATCAAGCTTGTCGAGCTAAATTCTCGGAAATGTAGAGAATTTTTGAACGCTTTTTAGAGATCTGACTTCAAAAATAATCGATTTAGATAAGTTTCTCGCGGGGGTGACTTCCCTCTGCTTGGAGGGAGTGGACTCTGTCGGAACTGGGTTTCACGCTAGTTGAAAAAATGCAGATAACAGATCAAGATTCCGTTGAAATCCGAGGACGTATTAAAAGTTTTAACACTAACTCTGTAGAACCGTAGAGAAACCGAGAATCCACCGTGAAACAAAGTCACAGCAGCCGTTTGATTTGATTGGTCTGTACACATCAAACATCGATTGTTGGACTGAGTGATCAGCCTCATGACATTCACCATTGTTCTAATCTACTGGCCCACATATCCTACCTGATTTCAGGCCTCCTCATATGCTCCTACCCGCACCTAAGAAACCGAGTCGCCCCCGGCAACGTGCAGCATTGACTGGGCAAGGGACTGTGCGAGACGCATACGTAGCTCTCCCATCAGCACTTCCTTTGATGGAATGTTAGCCGCAGGGTACTGCCCTACTTACCTGCATAGCTTGTGATCACCAGGCTGAATTACACAAACCCCAGCCTAGAGTACTCGCTTGCTGCCACGAAAAGCCATCAAGTATCCGTTCCAGAGCCTTGTGCTAGAGTATTATGCACTAACGCAACACCCCCACTCGATTGTCCAGTCCTTGATTTTTGCGTCCCTCCTTGACCCCGCCCAGAAGCTGCAGCAGTCATCAGGCAATGTGAGACATTCAGAGTCCAGGTAGTTGCCTGCTCGAGCGCATGTACTTTCCACGCAATGGGTTCGGCCCCAGTAGAATCCCCCATTCTCTAAATCTTATTCCCGAAATTCCGCCGGCTATACACAAATTAACGGCTAAGAAAGCAGTGGGGATATAGCTGAAATGCCGTCATGAGTATAAAACGTATGAGCGCTGTGTAGAAAGCCGAGTCTGGTTGGCCCGTAAATGCGCGAGATTGACATTTCTGATGTTTGAGTAGGAGAGCAACAGTAGGGGTCTCGGCAAAGACATTTGCATGCTTAATCCAGCCATGCGATGCCAGCCAATGCTGTAGCCTGATGAAGGACGAGTTCCGTTTCTGCAGGTTCGTCCACGATGTGAGGGCTGATGGTGAGGCAACTGCAGTCCGGTGAGGGGCGGCATTGCATGAAGTCACGGTGACCGAATCGCCGATATGAGTGTTGAAGGCCCAATCGGGTAAGCTCGATATGCGAGTCACAGTCCATAGCATTGTTGTTCGCTATGATGACTACAGGTGTGAAAAATGCCGAAATTCGTCATGGCTTATACAAATCAGAAGAGTCTGGCTCATTGAGCCTGAGCAGCTCTTCAAGTTTCTGGGGATCCGAGGCATAATCGACCGGTTCCTGTTTAGTCTTTCCTGCCTTCCAAGGTGGTGAACTGGGGTGAATGACAGTACTTGATGGCAATGAAGCAGCTTTTGGATTACGAAACTCATCCGCAGTACCTGCTAATATAGCCTTTTCAGGACCAAGGTCCTTCATCGTAACATCGTCAGCAACATCGTCTCGCTCAAAGGCAGGGACATCTTCAGTGCGATTCTCCGTTGGGGTCGATGCTCGCGTCGACTCTTCTGAGGCAGCCTGGGAGTCGGACAGAGCGAGACTCATGGTTCCAGGTGTCTTGGGAACGGTACCCGCATCTTCCATCGTACTGTCTTCGTCGTTGGAACCTGCTTCTGTTTGAGATTCTATCTCAATCTGATCCGACAGAGTCTCCGCCGTTGAGCATTCACAAATCTCGTTGGCGTAAGCGGTAGGCGAGAAGCGTCTGCCCACTTCGTCAAAGCGTATCCATTTCTTAGCCTAGTACAGAGTTAGTGCAATATCCAAAGCAATTGTGGTCAGACAAACAGAAGCTATGCTGTGCCCAAGCCAAAAGAGCCTGTCTGCACGCGGCTTAGCCATGGATGGCAAATCCAATGTACGTTCATCATCATCGATCATCGCATCCGTAAACCAAGCCTCTGGAAAGTACCACTGGCTGTACAGCTGGCCCCGCATAACGAAATCCTCGGGGAGTGGGCGTCCAGGTCCTTCCTCTGGTTCCGGAAAGTCTTTGGAACGGAAGCTGGGATCCGCAGCTCGAGACGGTGTAGATAGAAAATTAAGGAAGGAGCAGAGTCCATTCCACGGAACGGAGGGTTCGATGCACTTCATGGCCTGTTCGACACCAACAAAGGTTCGAAGGAATACGAGGTATACATGCACTAAGGGATGAACGTTTGGGTCCTCGGGGCGTCTTAGAGAAATGCTCAATGTTCCGAAAGCAATTTTGGAAGCCAGCGTAACCACTTCGACGGATGGTCCGGGAGAACATGACATAAAAGCGTCAAAATCTGATGTCCCGAATTGCTCATCTTTTACTTGATTAGCATTTTCAGAGGCCTCAAATGCCAAGCGAAGGATTGGCTTTGGTACTCCGTGTTTGGCAATGCCATATTCGAACAACGCAGCAATATTCGCAACAGCAGCAAAGACTCCCGCTTCCTTGAACCTGGCAGCAGTCTTCGTAATGTAATTCTCTAACAGGTCGTCGGCTTCAAGTTCCATGATGGCCTTATCGAATCGGTCCGAAGGATCAGCGGGGCCTTTAGTAAAGAGAATCCCATGTGCTCTAATGAAGATGGTTTCGAATGAGGATCGACGGGTTGCTGATTCTTTGCCGTTGAGAATGGGATTGAAAAGGGTCATGATACTTCCTTTGGCACTTTCGAAAGGAGTGACACAAGTCAAGGACCTGGTGTAAAGCGATAGCTGCTCGAGGGTATAAGGGCGAGCAAGGATGGCCAGATGATGATAAAGCCGGCCGACATTTGGGCTCTTGTCAGCTGCTTTGTTATACCAGAAACGGGCTACGTTGCTCCAAACCTCGCGGTCCTTGGGTTCATCATCTTCAATGGCCATCCTGTACCTTCCTAGATCCCCTATATGACAAAAAATGAGTAAAACAAAAAATGAATTGGGATCTTCGGAATTTACCAAGACACTCGATCCAAGTATCTTCGAAGGTGGATACCGTTTCGTAAAGTAGAGCCATCATCGAGTATGCTATGTAAATGAAGGCAAGCATATGCTCCAGTGACTGTGGAAGCCTGTGTCTCAAGACCTCGAGGAAGGCGTGAATCCCGTGTCGCCACATTCGAGCTGGCATGGAGTATTTAGCTGCTAACCTGCTTAGAGCTGCACTCGCAGAAGGATGCTGTGATGCCAGAAAGAAATCGTGGTGCTCATGTAAAAGTTGTTTATGAAGTGCAATGAGTGACTGCCACTGGTCATTCTTTAAGTCGATCTTTTTGGATGGGTCCTTTTCCTGGGCGGCAGCCGACTGCCTTTCGTCGATGTCTATACATTTAGCTTCGACCATGACCAAACCAGCGTAGATACCCTTCACTTCCACTACGAGCTGCTCATGAGAAATAGGCCTGGTGTCGGGCTGTAGGAGCATCTCAGGTTCAGCTTCCGAGCCTTCAGACGGTTCATCTCCGGGTGGAGAGTCGCCATCGGAAGGCGGTGGCTCTTTCTTTGCTAAAATCCTAGTTTTTCTTGAACTATCAAAATGAGTGACATGGGGCTCGGTAGACATGGTCTGTTCCCGAGTATCCGCAACGTTCGGCTGTTCATCAACAATGTCTGGCTTCTTTGGTCTGGACCTGGGCTCCCTTGAAGGATGTGGACGCCGAGGGGGCTTGTTTACATGACCAGGCTGCCTATCTCTTCGGGCAGCTTTACGTGTGTTAGGGTCATCTATATTCGGATCCCACAGTGGCTTGATTGACCCAGGGGCACCGCGTTTGAATTCCGGGTCGTTCTCAGTCGCTTGCTGCCGGTTGAGATCGGACTCCTCCTTACCAATCGAGAATCCACGAGAACCGCTTTTCGCATGGCGCGCCCTCGCAAGCATGGAG